CGAGCCGGTTTGCTTCTAAGACACTGAAGAAAGTTGCTACAGCTCCTACTTTGGAAGCCCACAGGGATCACTGGCTCTGAGTTCTTCAATGGTGCCACAGCTGGAGGAAAACATGGATCAGAATTAGGGGCAATGCCACTGCATATTGACTACCAGCTGCCTGTTTTCTGAAGTCAAAACCCTTTAAATAAAATAATTTTTTAGTCACAAGTACACTGAGTGCGCCAATGGCAAATGTATAGCAATCTACAATATAGCTAAAGTATGCCATCTACTGGCTAAATATGAAGATGCCGCATATAAAAGCATACTCTTATGGTATAACTATTAGACATGTGCACTGCCCAAAAATTTGTTTTGTTTCGTTTTAAATTCGGATTTGTGTTATTTCGTTTTTCGGGATTCAGGTGTGAAAGTCAATTCGGAATTCGGATTCGGACGAAATTCGGTAGCGGTAGGTCGAACGTTCGTTTCGTTTTCTGTTCTTATTCGTTTCGTTCGTTCGTGACATTTGAGGGGGAAAAATATTTTTCTCCTTCTCTAATGTCACTTTGCTGAAACGAATAAGAACAGAAAAAACAAAACGAACGTTCGAACTACCGCTACCGAATTTCGGAAATGGAAATTCGGATTCGTTTGCATTCGTTATGTCTGTAATTCGGAATTCGGATACATCCGAATGTCCGAATTTCCGAAAATTCGTCCGAATTTCGATTCGGAACGAAACGAATCGCACATGTCTAATAACTATACTATTACATTACCCAAAGCCAAGTGTCCCTCCATTATACTGGGGAACGCGTGTCCCTACAGGCTTGATGAAGACAGACTCTCCTTTATATTTGAATTCATGCATGGATAGTACCGCAAGCTCCCTGCCAGCTTACAGGAAGAAATGAACACTGCCTAAGTTGGTGTAGACAGCAGTGTTTGGAACAGGACCACCTTCTGCCTGTTTTGGGGTATATCTGTGGGATGGAGGCTTGAGTGCAAGAGGCAGGCAGTTTGGCGTAGGTACTGACAAATAAGCTTTAGCCTTTAGGGCTTGTCCATTCGATCTGCAGACCAGATCCAAACCAGAACACTTTTTGTCTGGTACAAAATGCATCCCCATAGATTCCAATGTTTTTTCTGAGTGTAGTTCACACTACTGCATTCAGTTTCAGAGCTTTTTTAAAAAAAGTCCAGCATGTCACATTTATTCTGGTTGGAACGCACAAAAATGCATGCAAGCGCATTGGAATGCACCTAAAGGCCAAATGAGAAAAAATGCACTGGAAAGCATCAAAAATACACAGGGCCACATTATGGAAGGTAAAAATGCTGCAAGTAAGCAGTTAAATAATGTTCTCTGCTTTTACCTGCAATTTTGTAAGCTGGTGACAGGGTCTCTTTAAATCCCAATTCCAGTTTTAGTGTTCTTTTTTTTTTTTAAGTCAATTATCTACCTGATCTAAAATTGAAATAATTCAGCTCTTGCTGCAATGCTCGCCTCCTGAACAGACTCACCTCTCTGTGGTCAACATATTTTCTCTCTTTATTATAATTAGGGATAAAATTATATATTTTGTCTAAACTGAAAGAAAAAAAAACAATTTAAAGCAGAATTAAACCTTGCACAACAAATTCATAATTCTGGGGCCACAAGATGCCAACATATTTGCACATTATGACACGCTTACCCAACAAAGTGGTCTCTTCCAGCGCTGCAATGTCCACACTCCTCTCCATGGCTGGAGCTTCTATCTTTACCTTGTCTTCTTCTGGGATTGGAGTTTTTGGCCATCCTGATTGTCCAGGTTGAGATGACAACTGATAACTAGTGGCATTCAACCACTTGTCACAGGGGGGTCACAGGTGGCAAAGGGACAGGTTACCTTTAAGCTTCACATGGAATTGCTTTTGTGACCCACACAGGAGAGTAGATCAGTCACTGACTTTACTAATTGCCTAGAGTTGCTGCATGTCTACAATGTATCAGCCAATACACAATAGCGTCTCTTTCCCAATGTAATCTTGAAGTATTCACAGGACCCAATGGGAAATGGCCAGATTGTGCTCATTTGTGTAAGTGTCCATGTGTTAGTTGTAGGCATCTATATAGGCAGGTAGTATTGGCTTTCACCAGAACTTCTCCTTCTAACCAAGACCCCCTCCCCCCCTCCCATAGCTATATGGTCAGCCAAGACTGGAAGTGCTGAGATGTCATCTGCGACCTCCTAATTTGTGTAGCAAAACAGCTGCCTGTGCTCTTTTTTTTTCAATTCTCCTTCATTAAAATGTCCTGCTGCTGGCCAATTTTACACTGCTGTCTTATTTATGGTCTCCTCATTTTTAACAAGAGTATGATCAAAATTGGCCAGCAGCAGGACAGTTTTGCATCAGCCAGGGGCATATCCAGGGTATGGCACTATGCCCTGGGTGCCACTCCGTGGGTCAGTGCAAATTGACCGACCCTCAGAAACAGTTGACTTTTTTTCTCTCTCCACCATTCTGACATCCACATCTCCCCGCCCAGCTCTTAGCAACCAGGATGGGCAGGGTGATGTGTATTCTGGCCAGCGCCCCGCCCTGCTCCTGGCAACCAGCGACATCACTAGTTGCCAGGAGCTGGGCAAGATGCTGGCCAGAGCATCCCAGGTTGCTAAGAACCAGGTGGTGAAATCTATGGCCCTTACACATCTCGCTGCCCGCATTTTAGCAACCTAGGGCACTCTGGCCAGCATCCTGCCCAGGTCTTGGAAACCAGTAACATCAATGGTTCCAGGAGCAGGGCAGGACAACAGGGCTGCAGTTTTTTTGTAGATATGCCTCTGTCATCAGCTAGAACAGGGACGACCACAGCAAACTACTGGCCAATTCCTATATATCAGTCAAAGCAGATTGAAAAAGCACGTGTCACTGCTAAAACCACCTGTAAAAAGCTGAAATTAATCCGATTGGGTGCTGCCGCTGTATGTCAGCCGAGGTAATTGTAAAAGAAAAAAATCCACAGCCAGATCTGCACGCCCAGTGTACGCTATTCCTGTCAGCTGTTCTGTACAGCTTCAAGGCACACCCAGAGCATGTTATATAAAGGATTTGTGTATTTTCCTGCTGCCCTTCAATATGTATGGAAAGACCATCTCCCTCCCTGCTCCTCATGGCAGTCCCCAGCTTCCCATTCCTTTTTTTTTTTTTTACATTAGCATGTCTATTAGCACTGACTATGACCAAAGTATACTAACAGGATTTACCCCCCTTTACCCATAGACCTCAATGGAACCCCCTACAAGGGAATGCTTCAAATTTCAAACAGGATTTGCTGAACCCTAGTACCAATGCAGATAGGTTCTTCTCTACTGGGGAGATTTCCCTTCACCTCCTGTCTTGGAGACATAACAGGAAGTGAAGAAATCTCTCCAGCGTAAATGGAATTTGCATCTAAGCCATTTGTCACCACAACATTTGTACCCATTGAAAGATTTTCTGCCACCTCCGACACTAATAGCAACTCTGAAATGTTGACCCCTAATGCCTCCTTAAAGAGGACCTGTCACCAGTTAAGTGCTATTACATAGGGGGCTTGTAAACCACCCTCCCCCCCCC